TGTGTTCTTTTATGCACTTGAAGAACACTGAGTTGTGAAAAGCCTTTACCACACTGATTACATACATGAGTTTTCTCTCCAGTATGTGTTCTTTTATGTTTTTCAAGATTATTAAAATGTGGAAAGCCTTTACCACACTGATTACATTCACAGGGTATCTCTCCAGTATGTGTTCTTTTATGCTTTTGAAGAGTACAGTGATGAGCAAAGGCTTTAACACATTGAGGATATTCAGAAGGTTGTTGTCCAGTACGACTTCTTTCATTCCTGCAAGGATAATTGGCACATGTAAAAGCTTTACCACTTTAAATATACTGTTGAATCTTTATATTTGAATGAGCTAATTTGTAATTTGGTCCAGTTGCAAAGAATCAGATATTAAGGTTTTATTACTTTGTTTACACTCATATTATTCCCATTTATTAGGGGTTGTTTTGCATCTTTGAAGATACCTGTGATAGTAAAAGCATTTATTACATGATTCACATTTACACATTTTTTTTCTATATGAGATTTTTCACATATTTGAAGAGAACTGGAAAAACTCAGCTTTATCAAACTTATTGCTTTCATAAATTTTCCTATACTGTGAGTCACATTACATTTTCTAGGTGAATTATGACAAACAGAACTATTTACACAGTCCTAGTACTCATAGGGCTTTTCTGCAGTGTGAGATTGTTGATGTATTTACAGTGAAGGTGGAAAACCATTTACTTGTATACTTGAATCAGATTCAACAAGTCTATTCAATGTGGGGACTGCTATATATATTCTAATAGTTCTGAGAGGTATGTTCCATCATTCTATATCCATATGTTCATGTGGCTTGTATCCAGAATGATATATGACATACATAGTAAAGGAAGAATGACAAATAAAAGGTTTCCACATTGAATTCATACAGTTTGAATTTCTGTTTCTCATAGATATGTGGTATGGGGATTAAGGTCTCTCCACAATAGCCCTTGACTCTAAGTGCCTCTTTCACTAAATTTATCAAAGTCACAAAAAGTATATGAGTAACACTAACTTTACTATGGACTATTTGCTTATTTTTGAATGTTTTGAACATATACTTATCACCTCTTCAATGTGTCTACCTTTTTTAATATGAGTGTCATGAAATGAAATGGACTGGCAGATGTACAGCACAGCACTCATGGGGTTTTGATTCAAATGGCCACGTCTGTTAAGGCATTGTTTTCTTGTCGTCTTTCTTAAAAGAATGCCTTGAAAATGTAATTCACTTACCTGAAGTTGAGGAATATGGTATTTGTTGTCAGAATTTAATAATCATCAATGCATTATAAGCTGTGCTAATTTACACTGTTGTTTTTCTTTGAAACTTCCAGGACACATTTACAGTTTCTTCAAAGGCACATTTGTAACAGCTTGCAAAATAAAATTACCTTTCATGTCTTCTAGAAATTTTACAGTATTCTTCGATATTATGGTCATCTCTGCTGTATCCTAAAATATAGTTTCAGAAAATGTATGGTATATTATTAAAAATTGTGCAAAATTTAAGTTACTATCTTCAGTGAACCTTAGAACCATACTTGATTTATTCACCTCATTCTTCTTTCTCACTCAAATTACAGAGAAGCATCAATAGCCAAAGAATAGTTGTCCCCTTATTTTATATGAAGGAAAATTCAGTCTTACCTATAGTAATAAGGTTCCTGTAGGTCTCCAGCATCACATCTTTGTAGAGATTCTTCTGGGAAGGATTCAGCAAAGTCCATTCTTCCCAAGTGAAGGCAACATGCACATCATCATAGGTCACTGCATTCTAAAATATCCCATAAATGTGTACAACAGAAAGCATGGTACTGACAACATTGTAAATCTATACTTCTTCATGATATAGTCATATAATTCTGGTGCTCCACTTACTTCCTCCATAACACAGACATTGTAAAGTAATCATCAAGTCACTCTAGAAGGAAACTGAATAAGGAGGTTCACTTCTCTCATTTCTGTACCCCTTGTATGGGATATAACCTTGCAACAGAAATGCCTATTAACAAACATAGAAAAGTAAACAGATCAACAGTACAGACTACACATTAGAAAAATTGTATGAACAATTACTAAGTATAAAAAAAATAAGACGGACAAGCTGGGTGTATTGGATCACGCCTTTAATGCTAGCACTCAGAACACAGAGGCAGGTATATTTGCTTGAGTTGAATGGTAGCCTAGCCTATGCAATCAGTTCCAGGACAGCCAGAAGTACATATTGGGACCCTGTCTCCTGTTCAAAACATCAGTCAAACAAGCAAAAAGACAGAAAGAACACAGAGGTTATTTACTTTAGTTTCTACAAAGAGTTAGACATTCACTCCACTTCTGTATTCATCTTCCAGAAACCTGAAGTACCTCATTTTAATGTGTAACATCAATAAGGTCTTTCTAAAAGCCACTGAGTGTTTAAACACAGTTTCAAATGGACAGATGAAAACATTAGCAATATAAATGTTGATAATAAATAATCAACACAGGGCAGAAGAGATGGCTCAATAGTAATGAGCTCTTGCTGGTCTTGCATATAGGTGGGGTCAACTGCCAATATTTACACAGGAGATCAAAACTATCCATGATTCCAAGTTTAGGGTTTCTGAGGCCATCTTTTGATCATTGTGAGGACCAGGTACCCACATGGTGCATATCCATGCATACAGGTAATACTCATATTCATTTAAAATATTCAAAACAAACACAGCAGGCAGGAAGAATGTCCTGTACCTGCAATCCAATGACAGAAGGCTCAGGCAGTATTAATGTCATGAATATATGTCATGCTGGAAAACAAAATGATACCATCTGCCAAATTTCAAATTTCAGGATGGGGTGAAGCTCAGTATAACAGTATTTGTTTGGCATGTACAAAAACCTACATTTCAGGCCAATCACCCAATAATATAAAAACAGAAAAGCCAAGAATTTTGGCTCAACTTTAATCCCAGCACTTGTGAGCCAGAGTCAGGTGGTCTCTGAGTTCAAGGCCAACTGGCTTACAGAGGTACTTTCAGTTCAGCCAAGGTTACACAGACAAACCTTGTCATCAAAAACAAACAAACAATTTAAACAGCAGGCTACCAAACTGGCTTGGCATTGAATGGCAACTGCTTCTACTGTATCTAAAGTCTATAATGGTGGTGAAGGCATGACTGCACAAGAAGGATGTTGGCTCATGAATTTCAACCAAAACAAAGAATAGGAAATTGGTTGAGTCTATAGATGCTTATAACCTATCCCCAATGAGGAATTTCATCCAGAAAGGCTCCTCCTAATCAAAAGAAAGTTCCCAAAAAGAGAAACATGTTCAAATACATCATCATATCTGGGAAGTTTTTCATACAATCAACTACATTCTGATCCAGGTCACTATAGGCTTGTGGTCATCCATAAAAAAAAAAAATGCACTTAGTCACTTCAATGATACTCTTGGTCTGCGATAACCCCTATGCTGTTCAAATGTTCAAAGCCTTTTCTGACACTTAAGAAAATCTTGACAGTGACATCTTGTAAAATCAGAAAACAAATTACATCTTTCCAACATACAATAGCACAGAATACCATTCACTTTCCAAAAGAGAGGAATGGGAACACAGTGAGAGAAGAGCGGACCAAGGCAAGTCTCAAACACAGAGGAAAACCATCAAATCTTATAGCTCTGTCTCAGACACATAAGGCTTCAGTTTCAAAGGACTTAGATGGGCCCTATCCCTGCAATGTCTCATTCATCTCTCTCTTTGGTTACTTTAACTCCCTGTATGCAGCCAGCTGGTGATGGGAGATGTCTCATAGCATAGGTATTTCATCATCTTGTGGTCTCAAAATGAAACACAGGCTTCATCCTCACAGTTTCACACAATAAACTCTGTCTCCTCACTGTATTCTGACACTGCCAAACATAGATGCCTGTCACAATGCTGAACTGAAACCACAAACTAAGAGTCCATGACCTAAAATTTTGATGTTTTCTTGTTTCCACGATCAAGAAGGGTAAGCCTGCAAATTCTGACTTCTTAATTAGAATGGACACCAACATGCTTGGACCACAGGTGCAGCAGGTTTTATATGAAGTTGCTTCCAGGGACTAGGAATCACTTTGCTTCCTCTATAAATTGAAGGTTTAGGTGGATGGTGTCTTATCCTTATGACACCTTGCTAGGTTTCCATTACAGAGCAAGGGACTTCTGTATAATGATGATAAACTCCTTGAAAAATTCCCATCTATTTCAATACTTGGCTGCCATCTGAAACTACCTTTTCATTTTCATTAATTTCTGATCCATTTTTTCACTGCAGAGCTGAATGAGTCATCAGTAATAGCCATAAAAGAGATTCAATATTCTATTTAAGAAATTAGCCCATTGTTTTTTAATTCTGACTTACTAAATTTACAGGGCATAGCCAGAATAAGAAAAATTATGAAGCCACAATATTACCCAAATGATCTCTAATATATATATGTATATTTTTATTGAGTCTATCTACTTCTGTCTGCAATCCTACGATCTCAACCGACACTTTCTGCCATTACTCTCAACAATCCTATCTACCTGGTTCTACAATTATAGCTAATTATGTTCTCTGTAAAATTTTCTAAATTTTTTGCCATCTAAGGTGTTGATATCATCCACATTCTTCCAAAGGACAACATTCCCATATTCTACCTAGCAACAAAACCAATTTTGGTGCTCCATTTTTTTGTTCTTACATTCTTTTATGCTGTTGTTTAAAAGTCCTCTAACCAAAAGCATCTTGGGCAATGAATGGGCTTGTTTGGCTGATTCTGTCAGATCACAGTTCATCATTTTAGGAACTTAGGATAGAAGCTCAAGCTAGCATTTGAAAGAAAAACCCATGGGCAAAGATTTTTCCCCCTGGATTTCTCTCTTGCCAATCACTGCCTCAAGCTCAAATCGCTCTCTTTTCCATCCCAGGCCCACTTTTTTAGGAATACAGCTACCCTCAGTGGAGGAGCCTTTCCAGATCAATCATCAATCATCAATCAACAAAAATCTCTCAAAGACACAGCAGTTTATGTCTGTTATGAACAAAGCCACCATGAACATAGTTGAGCAAATGTCCTTGTAGTGGGAGGGAAAGGCATCTTTTGGGTATATGCCCAAGCATGTTATTACTGGGTCTTGAGGTTTGCACTTGCTCCAGATCCTTTCCAGCATTGGCTCTCACTTGTGTTATTGATCTTAACAATTCTGAAAGGTATAAGATTAAAATCTCAAAGTAGTTTTGATTTACATTTCCCTGATGGCTATGGATGTTGAACGTTTCTTCAAGTGTTTCTCAGCTATTTTAGATTGTTTTACTGAGGATTCTGTTTAGAAAGGTACCCCATTATAATCTGAGTATTTGGTTGTGGTTTTTTGGTTTCTTGAGTTCTTTCTTATCCTGAGTGAGGCAACCCAGAAGCACATAAACAAACATAGTATACTCACTTCTAAGTGGATATTAGAAAATAAAGAATAATCACAGTTAATCACATTACATTCCATAGATGAAGAGTGGCTAAGTAACAAGAACAGCTCCAGGAGAGCTGCATGGATCTCTCTGGACAGAGAAAATAGATTTTGTGGGCACACTGGAGGGACAAGGGTATGGAAACAGGAAGGACCAAGTAAGTATTTAAGAGACATAGGGGGAAAGTACAGAGAGAGATTATTGGAATAGGGGAACTTTTAGCAGGGCATGTGGAAACATAATGCAGTGCAAGCTTCCTGAAACCTATCAGGGTGACCCTGGAGAGGACTCCTAGTAATCAAGGGCACAGATACTGAATCAGCCATCTTCTGTAACAACATAAGGCTCCCAGTAGCAAGACTAGGACATCAAGCTAGCCACAAAACATTCAACCCACACTTGTCCTGCTTGCAAGATATGCTAGGGCAGAGGTGGCTCAGAGCTTCTGTAGTGGCCAAACAATGACTGGTCTAACTTGAAGACAAGACTCTGAGAGGAAGCCCACACTGCCTGGATGACTAGGAACTGGTACTTGGATGGCTCAGAGAACTAGGATAGAATCAAATATAACAGAAAAACAACAAAAGATATTAAATGATTCATAACTATATTCTGCTATAATATATATCACTGCCTAGCCCAATTGTCACCAGAGAGGCTTCTTCTGGCAGCTGATGGGGCCACATGCAGGGATCCTTACCCAAACATTAGCCTGAGCTCTAGGAATCATGTGGAAGAAGGGGATAAGGATTGTAGGAGCCAGAAGGGTAGAAGAAACCAGGAGAACATGGCTGGCAGAATCAACTAAGCAAGGCTCGTAGGGGTTCATAGAAACTGAAGTGGCAATTATGGAGCCTATGTGACTCTGTGCCAGGTCCTCTGCATATGTGCTATGGTTGTTTAACTTGGGGTGTTTGAGGGACTCCTAACTATCAGAATCAAGGTGTCTTGGACTCTCTTGCCTGTTCTTGGGATCATTTTCCTTCTATTGGGTTACCTTGTCCAGCCTTGATATGAGGGTTTGTGCCTAGTCTTATTGCACCTTTTTATGATGTGTTAGGTTGATATTCCTGAGAGGCTTGCTCTTTTCTGAAGGGAGACAGAGGAGCAGTGGATCTAGGAGAATAGGGATTGGGTGGGGATTGGAAGGACTGGAGGAAGGAGAGGCTGCAGTTAGAATGTATTGTATAAAAGAATAAATACAATGAATAAAGAAAAAAAATGAAAATGCATTTAGTTTAACTTCAATGATCCTCAAAATCTGTAACAGCCCAAATGTGCAAAGTCTCTGCTGATACTCAAAACAATCTCTTTATTGTCACATCTTTTAAAAATCTAGAAACAACTTAAGAGAGGAGGGAACTTAGGGATTGTATATTTTCAACATACAGTGTCACAGGATATGTTCCCGTTAAGGAAAAGAGGAATATGGCATCCAGTTCAGGCAGAAATCCCCTGCTCATGTGTGTGTCACAACAGTCAGAAGAATAGGTAGGCAGGCCACCAGCCCAGGAAATTTCCACACTCTGTACATTTCCACAGACACAATCCCCACAAACCTTATAGTTGCTACCAGTAAAGCCATATCCCCACCCCTAAATCAGATGGATAGCCTCTGCTCAATTGCAGGTCATACCAGCCAGGAAAATAGGTAGGCAAACTGAGGCAAAGACTCCCTGCTGGACCAGAGGCCATGCCATCCATCAATAATCCACATAGGCTGCTTAGCTGTGGACTCCTCCACTCATTCAATAATCCCAACACTATCCTCAATCCCACTTCCACAATCATCTCTGGGTTGTAGCCTTCAACTTCGGTGAAGGAAGACCCCTTGCTCAAGCAAAGGATACATCATGTACCAGAAGTTCACGTAGGCCAACTGCCCATAGCTTCCCTAACTCTCGCAGCACCCCAACACTATCCCTAAGTTCCCTCCTCTCTTCGCATTTTATCAGCCCCAAACTTGGGCAGCTACTCCCTGCTGGAACAAAGGCCACACCTACTGCAACATTTCTAGTCCCCAACTTGGGATAACAAACAGTGTTCAACCATAGGCCACACAGAGCAGAAGACCAGAGAACAAATAGAACCCAAGGAACAAAACACCCATCCAACAAAGACAAACTGAGAAATTGGCACCTAGACCCACAATCACCTCAAACCCAGCTACCCAGACACTAGCATAAGAACACAATCAATAACAGCTACTATAATGTGTCACTACCAGATTCCAGCTATCTTACTACAGCAAGCCCTGACTATTCCAACACAGTTGAAGCATAATTAAGAAACCTTAAGACCAACTTTATTAAAAAAAGATAGAAGTTCTTAAAGAGGAAGTAAATAAATTCCTTAAAGAAAACAGGGAAAGGATAAATGAAAAATTGGAGAAAATGAATAAACTCCTTAAAGAAAACAAAAACAAACCAAACATGTGATAAACATAAATGAATCTGGTCAAGGCCTGAAAATGGAAACAAAAGCTATTAAAAATATAAACTGAAGCAATTTTGGAAATGAAAAGCTGGGTAATCAAACAGGACTTACAGTGGTAAGCTTAAACAAAAGAACACAAGACATGGAACAGAGAACTTCAGGCTTTGAAAATATGATAGAAGAAATAGATATATTGATCAAAGAAAATGCTAAATCTAAAATTTTCCCAAAACATAACATCCAGGAAATCTGGAACACTTTGAACAGATGAAACCTAAGAGTAATAGGAATAGAAGGCAAAGAATCTCAACTCAAAGGCCCAGAAAATATTTCTAAAAACAACTGAGAGTCAAAAATTTTCCTAACTTAAAGGAAAACGGTCTCAAAGGTGCTCATAGACAATGAAACAGCAATCATGGAGCCCACAGGAGTCTGCACTAGTTTCTCTACATATAAGTTATTGTTGTGTAGGTTGGTGTTTTTGTGAGACTCCTATAAGTGTGAGTGGAGGGGTGTCTCTGACTCTTTTACCTGATCTCAGAACCCTTTCCCTCCTACTAGGTTGTTTCATCCAGCATTGGCATGTGGGTTTGTGTCTAGTTTTATTTTAACTTGTTATGTACATTTTTCTGGGAGGCCTGCTCTTTTCTGAAGGGAAATGAAGGAGTGGATCTGGTGGAGAGGGGAACAGTGGAGAGGACTGGGAGGAGTGAAGGGAGGAAAATAGTAGTTGGAATATATTGTATGAGAGAAAAATACATTTTTTTAAAAAATTTAAAAATTTTAAAAAAGAAAGCAATGTGGACACATTGTGGACAGTGGGGGAAGATTGGACCATGGCAAAACTAAATCTGAGCAAGAATTACCAAATCTTATAGCTCTTTTTCCGACAGTTTAGTTTTCATTCCCAAAGGGCTTAAATAACTCTACCCCTGAAATTTTTCATACATGTTTTTCCTTTGCTACTTCCACTCACTGTATACAGCTCCCCATGGCAGACGTCTTATAGCTTGGGCATTTCAATATCTTACCATCTCAAAATACAACACTGGCGTAATCTTCACAGCTTCATGCGATGACCTCTCACAGTCTCTTCACTGGGTTTCTGACTCTGCCAAACAGATGTATGTAGCAGTGCTCAACTGAAACAACAGAGGAAGAACCTATGACCTACCTGTACATTTTACATCTGTCTTGTTTCCAGAACCAGTACGACATGAGTTACTCACCACAAATTAGGCTTCTGTGTTGGGATGGATGCTACCACACTTGGAAAATCTTTACAGAAGGTCCTCTGTGAAGTTGCTTCTTGGGATTAGGAATCAAGTTGCCTATTCCCTCCATAATTTAAAGGCTTAGATGGATGGAGTCTTGTACTTAGGGTACCTTCCTGGGTCTCAAATGCTGAGAAGGGCCTTCTCTTTAATGGTCCTAAACTTCAAAATTCTCTGTCTCTGCTCTACCAAAGGACTACTATTTGAAACTACCTAGTCCTGTTTATCTCTTCAAAACAGACTTTTTATTTCTTTCTGCACCACTTGTTTCTTTTACACTGTAGACCTGACTGAATTATCAGTAATAAACACCCAAGAGAAGCAATACTTTGTCCAAGAAATCAGCCTATTATTTTTTAATTTTACCTTACTCAATTTCTTAGGGAATGGAGAAAATAAGAACGATATGGGGACATAATATTATTCAAATTACCTCTAGCTAAATTTTTAATGGAGTCTATTTCCCACTGAAATCCTATTCCCTGAAGTGCCACTGTGACCATTACTTTTAATACTCATATTTCTGGTCCTATAAGAAGAGCTGATTAAGTTCTATGTGCAACTTTTTATGCCTTTTTCCATCTAAAGTCCTAATATCTTTTTTTTAAAGTCCTAATATCTTAAACATTACTCCAAAAGACAACATTCCCACATTCTATCCACCAACAAAAACACTTTTGGTGTACCAAATTTTGTTCTAACTTGCTTGTTTCTTGCTGTGATTAAATTGTCTAATGAAAAGCATCTCAAGTAATGAACAGGTTTATGTGGCTGATATTGCCAGATCATAACCCACAATTGTAGGTGCTAAGGATAGAATCTCAAGCTAGGAATTGAAGACAAAAACCACAGGGAAACTTTGTTTACTGGCTTTTTCTCTTGCTTGCTCACTGTCTTGTGCTCAGGTGGCTTTCTTATCCACCGTATGCCCACTTGTTTAGGGTATTGTAACCTCAGTGGAAGAGTCTTTGCACATCAATCATCAACTAACCATCAATCACCATCAATTAACACAGTTTCTCAAAAACACAGTAACCAGCAATTCTGATCTGGGCATAGCCTCAATTTATGTTCCCTCAGATGTTTAACCATATCAACCCCTTAAACTGAAAAAAAAAAACCCACAAATATGAAGATAATAACAACAGGAAAACACAGATATACCAAGAAATAAGGAGAAGTGAGCCTCCAAGATCAAGAAAACTAAATCTGTCTCTCCACAGAAACTTCCCAAACCAACAAAAGCTCAAGAAACTCAAAGCATAATATAGTAAATTTTCTGAAAAATAAAATGGTGAAGTTCCATCATTTTCCAGACAAACAACAATAAATTTAGATGACAAGTAATAGACTCAACAACATAGATGGTACCAATGACCAAACAAGACAAAAAGACTTACCTACAAATATATATCATGAGCCCATAAACACGAACTACAAGATTCTAATCAAAATTTAACCACGAGAAATCACTGGCCAGTACTCGTCCTGTGCACTCTGGTACTCTCCTATGCTAATAATAGAAAATGGATTGTGTGAGGATGGCTGTTCTAACAGAATTGGACAGATGCACTTGAAGTCTTCTGACGTTTTAACTTTGTAGAAAACAGACTTGGTTACTAAAAGGATCTCATTCTCTTATGACAAGGTAAAGGATATTTGTTATGATCATTTAGGAATCCTTTTGTTTCCTATAACTGATGATTGCTTATAAGTCTACATCAGGCAAGGAATTGAAAACTTGTCTAAACCAAATAAAAAATAACAGATTTTTAAAGAAACAATAGTGTATGATTTGTATTATATACCTAAAGCAACTTGTTTTGTCTAATTGCTTTATGAGTCACAAGAACTTAAAGAAAAAAGTTTATCCTCACATTTTGTGTATGTTTGTGTATGAGAGAGAATGTGTTCCATATGTATAAAAGTGACATGCAAGAAAAGAGGGGGTCAGATCTCTTGCATCTGAAGTAGCAGGTGGTTATGTGCCTCCCTGACTTGGATACTGAGATAAACTCAGGTCATCCCAAAGAAGAATATGTTCTTCTTAGAACTTCTTAGAACTTTTGATTTAATAAACTAAAAGTTTTTTACAGATTAACAACAACCACAACAACAAAACCTAAATAAACAAAGAAGTAAATAAATGATCCATGGTGCATCAATATTAAGATGTTGTATTTGGTAAATCTGCAGCATGAATTGAATACAATCCCAAGAAAATTCCCAAGAATTTATAACAGGATACCCAAAGCTACATACAAAGCAGAAACACTCAGAGTGTTCAATAGGATCATAAAACAAATACATATATTGACACAATCTGACTTCTATATTTACCGCAAAACTAAAACAATCCAGAATATGTACAATATCTGTGAAAGGATAAAGGAAAAAGAATAAGCCAAGAACAAAATCAGGAAAATATAGTCAACTTTTAATCAAAGGACCAAAAACTGAGCTCTGGAAAGTGTGATCTTGATGAATGTTACTAAACTTTCTATAATTCTGTATATATAAATTAATGCAAACTTCCTAATTCCCACAAAATTAACTAAAGTGACCCTTAAACAGTTATGTTTCTGACTTTCCAGCTCTTGAGTGAGGTAACTCAGACTCAGAAAGAAAAACATGGTATATACTCATTCATAAGTGAATACTAGATGTAAAGGAAAGGACAATCAGACTACAACCCACAGCTCCAGAGAAGCTAGGAAATAAGGAGGGATGTACAGATCATCTTTGGGAGGGGGAAACAGAGGGGATATCCATGAGTAAACTGGGGATGAGGAAGGGCAATAAAGGGGAGGTGATGGGGGATGAGAACATGAGGAAACAGGATGGTTGAGCTGGGGGAGGGATGGAGTGGGAGAGCAATGAGAGAGATATCTTGATAGAGGGAGACATTATGCGGCATGGAAGAAATCTGGTACTAGAGAAATTCCCAGGAATCCACAAGGACAATCACAGATTATACTACTAGCAATAGTGGTGAGGATGTCTGAATTGGCTTACCCTGATAATCAGATTGGTAAATACCCTAAATGCCATCATAGAGCCTTCATCCATTAACTGATGGAAGCAGATGCAGAGATCTACAACCAAGTACCAGGCTGAGTTCTGGGAATATAGTCAAAGAGAGAAGAGGGAGTCTATAAACAAGGGGGGTCAAAATCACGAGGTGGGGAATCTACAGAGAAAACTGAACAAAGCTCATAAGAACTCGGAAACTTTAGATGAACAGCCGTGGAACCTGAGTGGGACCAGACTAGACCCTCTGCATACAGGGGACAGTTGTGTAGCTGGGTCTGTTTGTGGGGCCCCTGGCAGTGTGATCAGGATCTATCCTTGGTGCATGTGCTGGCTTTCTAGATCCTATAACCTATGGTCTGACACCTTGCTCAGCCTTGATGCAGGGGAGGGGCTTGATCCTGCTTCAACTGAATGTACCAGACTTTGTTGTCCCCCCATGGGAGAACTTATCTTTTTGGAGGAGAGGATGAGGGGTGGGTCAGGGGTGTGGTTGGGTAGGGGAGAAGGGAGTGGGAGGACAGGTGAGAGGGGGATCTGTGGTTGGTATGTAAAATGAATAAAAAAAAATTAATAAAAAAAGACAACATAGACTTCACAATTTCCACAAAATTAACTCAAAGTAACTCTTAAAAAATTATGTTTTTGACCCTGCCACTAATGATCTTTCTCCCAAACAGAGAGACCAATATTGTGGAATATTATTTTAATGTGTTATATTTGTTTATGCTGTGGAACATTTGTTTAGTGATGAAAAATGATACATTCTTTTATGTTGCATTTGTTTAACTTGTGTGAAGCTATGTTACTTTGCCTGTCTAAATTATCTGATGGTCTAAAAAAGATCTGAATGTCCAATAGCTAGGCAAGAAAAAGTATAGGCAGGTTTGGCAGGCAGAGAGAGTAATTAGCAAGAGAGAAAAAGAGCAAGATCTGGGAGCAAGAAAAGAAGTTGGCAGCTACCCGGCCATACAGCCAGCCATGGAGTAAGAGTGAAAGTAAGATGTAAGAGAAGGAAAAAGCCCAGAGGCAAAAGGTAGATGGGATGATTTAAGTGAAGAGAAGCTGGCTAGAAACAGGCCTGGATAAGTCCAGGCACTCATAAGTAATAATAAGCCTCTCTGTTTGATTTATGTGGAAGTTGGGTGGTGAACACTCAAAAGGACCAAAACAACAAAGAATAAAAACAACTGACAGGCCCCATTCTATAGAGCTCTCTTGGTAAAGGGAGGTAATCTTCTTCTATAGAAAATTCTGTGAAGAAAAGGGGTGGAGGGAGGTGACCCTGGCCCGCCACCCAAGGCACAACATGCCAGCAGACCAGTAATGCCATGACTATGTGGCAATACATAGATTAATAAAAATGGGTTAATTTAAGATTAAAGAGCTAGCTGGGAAGAAGCCTGAGCCATAGACCAAACAGTTTGTAATTAATATTAAACCTCTGAGTGATTATTTTATGAAACAGCTGCTTCCCTGGACAGGACCAGGCAGGACTGAGAAACTTAAGTCTACAATTGGTGCCATATGTGTGACATTGATCCACATAGACCAGAAAAAGCTTAAAAATATTCTGAATGCACATAAACGGAGCCACACTGGGATTCTTAGTCTCACAGTCTCTTGCTATCAGCAGCACAGAGACACATCTCCCGAGAGCTGCCTGCAAGATAGAGTCAATCACCATGAGCTAAGTGGCATGATGAACATCTGCAGTCTCTCCCATAGGCCATGGTACAGAGAGGCTTCTCCCAGCCACTGCCTGCAGGCTTGCGAGCACAGCTGCAGACTTAAGAACACAGTTCCATGATGCTTAATACTGCTTCTTAGAATTGGGA